CAGAAACTTTGCGTTTCCATCATGTTGGCCTCCAGAAACTTGTGTTTCTTTCATGTTGGCCTCCAGAAACTGTGTTTCCATCTTGCTGGCCTCCAGAATCTTTGTGTTTCCTTCATGTTAGCCTCCAGAAACTTTGTGTTTCCTTCATGTTGGCTATTACAATCCAGGAATCCAAAGGTTTGTTATCCTGGGTGTAAAGGGAGCAAAATAAACACAGCAGAAAAACTTTTGACTTACATTATCCTTCACCAGGTAAGAACTGAAGTATGTACACTGTATATACTATGTACAACAATAGGTATTAGTGCACTCCACGGTAAGCAAGGCAGAATTGAAGCCACTAGAGAGCAGGCCGTGCTTCAACCAGCTCTAGAATGGGAATGACAAGGGCAGACAGACGGGTGGTACCCACAACACCACAACCATCTTCTCATTGGCTTGAACCTGGGTACTGATCGAACGACGGGGCCCCCATCATCTGATCCTCAGTACTGGTTCGCTGGTTGGGGGAGATAGCCTTTTAGTGAGGGTGTGTACATGCGCCGAATAAAGGTTACGTACGCTGGTTCGCTGGTTGGAGTTGGGGGAGGCCACATTGGCCTCCAGAAACTTTGTGTTTCCTTCATGTTGGCCTCCACAAACTTGTGTTTCCTTTCACACTGGTCCGGAACTTGTGTTGGTCTCGAGAATCGTGGGTAATCATCATGCTGGCCTCGAGTTTATCATCATGCTAGCCTCGAGAACCATGGGTTATCATCATGTTGGTCTCAAGAACCATGGGATATCATCAAACTGAAGGCTAACATATAGAACCCAGTAGTAAACAGTGAAGTTGGAGGTTGCCACAGTAAAAGATTTTGTTGCTCTAGGCGCAGTGCTCGCCCCACTTTTGTTTCTCATTCATATATCCGACAATGGCGAGAACCTAAATCATAGCACAGTAACATTCTGTACTGATGACACCAGAATACTGAGAGTGGCATTCGTTGAAGACTCAGTAAATCTTTAGGTGGATATAAATCAAGTCTTCGAGTGGACCTCAAACAACAATATAATGTTTAATGAGGACAAATTTCCGTTGCTCCGGTATGGAAGAATGGAGGAAATAATAACGGAGTACAGGACACTTCAGAGAAAGTTCTACGTGCGAGACTTGGGAGTAATGATGCTGGAAGATCTCGCATTCAAGAATCACAACAATGTTGCCATTGCTACCACAAGGAAAATAATAGTCTGGATAACTAGAACCTTCAAGACTAGAGACGCTGAACCAGTAATGATTCTTTTTAAGTCATTTGTTGTCTCCAGGCTGGAATACTGGTGTGTACTGACGACCACCTTCCAGGCAGGAGAGTCTGCTGGCCTGGAAGACATACGCAGAACTTCCACTGCTCACGGACTCTCACTCAAATCATTGTTAATAACAAATTAAGATTGTTTATATAGACATTACACAGAAAGTGTAAGTTCGTGTTATTCATCATAATGATGTATAACTTCTTTATATATAGGAAACTATGCAGTCCTGATTATGTTGAAGTGAATGCGGCAACCCAACAGCCTGGTTGATCAAGACTTCAGTCAGGAAGCCTAGGCTGAGAGATTCCAGAAATCTAGTGCAGGTTAACTACACATCACACTGGTTGCGACTTCACTGGTTTTTTTTTTTTTTTTTAATTTAGCAAAATTGGATACATCTGCAGTGTTCTGTTTTTTACCTTATTCTATATGACCGTAAGACCAAGAGTTGTGTATAGTGTGTATGTCAGCCTGAGCTGGCAGACTTCAGTAGTGTTAGTATGAGCTGGGAGACTTCAGTAGTGTTAGTATGAGCTGGGAGACTTCAGTAGTGTTATTATGAGCTGGGAGACTTCAGTAGTGTTAGTATGAGCTGGGAGACTTCAGCAGTGTTACTATGAGCTGGGAGACTTCAGCAGTGTTAGTATGAGCTGGCAGACTTCAGTAGTGTTAGTATGAGCTGGGAGACTTCAGTAGTGTTAGTATGAGCTGGGAGACTTCAGCAGTGTTACTATGAGCTGGGAGACTTCAGCAGTGTTAGTATGAGCTGGGAGACTTCAGTAGTGTTAGTATGAGCTGGGAGACTTCAGCAGTGTTACTATGAGCTGGGAGACTTCAGTAGTGTTAGTATGAGCTGGGAGACTTCAGTAGTGTTAGTATGAGCTGGGAGACTTCAGTAGTGTTAGTATGAGCTGGGAGACTTCAGTAGTGTTAGTATGAGCTGGGAGACTTCAGTAGTGTTAGTATGAGCTGGGAGACTTCAGTAGTGTTAGTATGAGCTGGGAGACTTCAGTAGTGTTAGTATGAGCTGGGAGACTTCAGTAGTGTTAGTATGAGCTGGGAGACTTCAGTAGTGTTAGTATGAGCTGGGAGACTTCAGTAGTGTTAGTATGAGCTGGGAGACTTCAGTAGTGTTAGTATGAGCTGGGAGACTTCAGTAGTGTTAGTATGAGCTGGGAGACTTCAGTAGTGTTAGTATGAGCTGGGAGACTTCAGTAGTGTTAGTATGAGCTGGGAGACTTCAGCAGTGTTAGTATGAGCTGGGAGACTTCAGTAGTGTTAGTATGAGCTGGGAGACTTCAGCAGTGTTAGTATGAGCTGGGAGACTTCAGCAGTGTTAGTATGAGCTGGGAGACTTCAGTAGTGTTAGTATGAGCTGGGAGACTTCAGCATGTTAGTATGAGCTGGGAGACTTCAGCAGTGTTAGTATGAGCTGGGAGACTTCAGCAGTGTTAGTATGAGCTGGGAGACTTCAGTAGTGTTAGTATGAGCTGGGAGACTTCAGCAGTGTTAGTATGAGCTGGGAGACTTCAGTAGTGCTGGTATGAGCTGGAGACTTCAGTAGTGTTAGTATGAGCGGGGAGACTTCAGTAGTGTTAGTATGAGCTGGGAGACTTCAGTAGTGTTAGTATGAGCTGGGAGACTTCAGTAGTGTTAGTATGAGCTGGGAGACTTCAGTAGTGTTAGTATGAGCTGGGAGACTTCAGTAGTGTTAGTATGAGCTGGGAGACTTCAGTAGTGTTACTATGAGCTGGGAGACTTCAGTAGTGCTAGTATGAGCTGGGAGACTTCAGTAGTGTTAGTATGAGCTGGGAGACTTCAGCAGTGTTAGTATGAGCTGGGAGACTTCAGCAGTGTTAGTATGAGCTGGGAGACTTCAGCAGTGTTAGTATGAGCTGGGAGACTTCAGTAGTGCTAGTATGAGCTGGGAGACTTCAGCAGTGTTAGTATGAGCTGGGAGACTTCAGCAGTGTTAGTATGAGCTAGGAGACTTCAGCAGTGTTAGTATGAGCTGGGAGACTCAGTAGTTTTTAGTATGAGCTGGGAGACTTCAGCAGTGTTAGTATGAGCTGGGAGACTTCAGTAGTGTTAGTATGAGCTGGGAGACTTCAGCATTGTTAGTATGAGCTGGGAGACTTCAGTAGTGTTAGTATGAGCTGGGAGACTTCAGTAGTGTTAGTATGAGCTGGGAGACTTCAGTAGTGTTAGTATAAGCTGGGAGACTTCAGCAGTGTTAGTATGAGCTGGGAGACTTAAGTAGTGTTAGTATGAGCTGGGAGACTTCAGCATTGTTAGTATGAGCTGGGAGACTTCAGTAGTGCTAGTATGAGCTGGGAGACTTCAGCAGTGTTAGTATGAGCTGGGAGACTTCAGCAGTGTTAGTATGAGCTGGGAGACTTCAGTAGTGCTGGTATGAGCTGGGAGACTTCAGTAGTGTTAGTATGAGCTGGGAGACTTCAGTAGTGTTAGTATGAGCTGGGAGACTTCAGTAGTGTTAGTATGAGCTGGGAGACTTCAGTAGTGTTAGTATGAGCTGGGAGACTTCAGTAGTGTTAGTATGAGCTGGGAGACTTCAGGAGTGTTAGTATGAGCTGGGAGACTTCAGTAGTGTTAGTATGAGCTGGGAGACTTCAGTAGTGTTAGTATGAGCTGGGAGACTTCAGCAGTGTTAGTATGAGCTGGGAGACTTCAGTAGTGTTAGTATGAGCTGGGAGACTTCAGCAGTGTTAGTATGAGCTGGGAGACTTCAGTAGTGTTAGTATGAGCTGGGAGACTTCAGCAGTGTTAGTATGAGCTGGGAGACTTCAGTAGTGTTAGTATGAGCTGGGAGACTTCAGCAGTGTTAGTATGAGCTGGGAGACTTCAGGAGTGTTAGTATGAGCTGGGAGACTTCAGTAGTGTTAGTATGAGCTGGGAGACTTCAGCAGTGTTAGTATGAGCTGGGAGACTTCAGTAGTGTTAGTATGAGCTGGGAGACTTCAGTAGTGTTAGTATGAGCTGGGAGACTTCAGTAGTGTTAGTATGAGCTGGGAGACTTCAGCAGTGTTAGTATGAGCTGGGAGACTTCAGGAGTGTTAGTATGAGCTGGGAGACTTCAGTAGTGTTAGTATGAGCTGGGAGACTTCAGCAGTGTTAGTATGAGATGGGAGACTTCAGTAGTGTTACTATGAGCTGGGAGACTTCAGTAGTGTTAGTATGAGCTGGGAGACTTCAGTAGTGTTAGTATGAGCTGGGAGACTTCAGGAGTGTTAGTATGAGCTGGGAGACTTCAGTAGTGTTAGTATGAGCTGGGAGACTTCAGCAGTGTTAATATGAGCTGGGAGACTTCAGCAGTGTTAGTATGAGCTGGGAGACTTCAGGAGTGTTAGTATGAGCTGGGAGACTTCAGTAGTGTTAATATGAGCTGGGAGACTTCAGTAGTGTTAGTATGAGCTGGGAGACTTCAGTAGTGTTAATATGAGCTGGGAGACTTCAGCAGTGTTAGTATGAGATGGGAGACTTCAGTAGTGTTAGTATGAGCTGGGAGACTTCAGTAGTGTTAGTATGAGCTGGGAGACTTCAGCAGTGTTAATATGAGCTGGGAGACTTCAGCAGTGTTAGTATGAGCTGGGAGACTTCAGTAGTGTCACTGAGCTGGACCATGCGGGTTTACCACTGTACATAACTATAACAATGATGGTTATTTCTGACGTCTCCATCAGGAGGTGGTGAAGGAGACACAGCGGCTACACAACGAGACTAGAGCCTACCACCACCTGCCCTTCTCCAGCGCCGCTCTCGACCACCTCCTCAGGGACTTCTCAGAGGTGCCCGCCTCCAGGGTCGCCCTCGGCTACGTCTTCATGGTAAGTACAAGATACTCTCCTCTGTTTTTTATCTTTTTTTGCTTCTTAAAATTCAAGTTTGAGTGTGTCTTAGAGTGGAGGTTGTGTCAGACATGCTAGCTACTCCTAGTACCTTCCTCACCTGGCCAGCTTTATCACGTATTTTAGAGAAATAAAGTTTTAACGCTTTTCTTTATGTACGTATAATGCCCTTGCGCTGCCCTCTACCAAACGCTGCCGTCCACCAGGCGCTGTCCTCCACCAGGTGCTGTCCTCCACCAGGTGCTGTCCTCCACCAGGTGCTGCCAGGGCGTTACAATCTGATAAACTTCATTCATTGATAGTCATGACTCATGAGTCACACTCTGGGTAAAGTAATAATCAGTGTGTGTGTTGACCAACATACGTGAATAGTGAGCCTAGGGACCTAATACCCTCCTGCTGGCCCATAGACTCGGCTAGTGCTCGTAGTGTTTGTCTCAGCCTGTGAACCAGTGACATGTACCTCCCTGAGTTACAGGCTACATATTACCGTATATACTGACGTTCTCTTAAAGACTATATTTAGTCATCTCCGTCTGCCCCCCTTCTGTCGCAGGTGGTGTACGCCTGCGTCTCCCTGACGCATCTCTCTGACTCGGTGAGGTCAGCAGGAGGCCTGGGTCTGGCTGGGGTGCTGCTGGTGGCCGTGACAGTGGCTGCTGGCCTGGGCTTCTGCGCCCTCTTGGGTCTTGCCTTCAACGCCTCCACCACGCAGGTGCTGCCCTTCCTGGCTCTCGGGCTGGGCGTCGATGACATGTTCCTCCTGGCGCACACCTTCGTCCAGACCGCTGACAACACCCTTATCCCCTACCAGGTGAGTCGCGGAGTCCCATCTTTATGTTTCAGAAGACTTGTCCAGGTGTCACCTTCCCCTTATCACCAAGATACTCCTTGTACTGCTAGGTGAGTCAGGTGGCTCAAGCAGGTGCCTGCTAGGTGAGTCAGGTGGCTCAAGCAGGTGCCAGCTAGGTGAGTCAGGTGGCTCAAGGAGGTGCCTGCTAGGTGAGTCAGGTGGCTCAAGAAGGTGCCTGCTAGGTGAGTCAGGTGGGTCAAGCAGGTGCCTGCTAGGTGAGTCAGGTGGCTCAAGGAGGTGCCTGCTAGGTGAGTCAGGTGGCTCAAGAAGTGCCTGCTAGGTGAGTCAGGTGGGTCAAGCAGGTGCCTGCTAGGTGAGTCAGGTGGCTCAAGGAGGTGCCTGCTAGGTGAGTCAGGTGGCTCAAGAAGGTGCCTGCTAGGTGAGTCAGGTGGCTCAAGGAGGTGCCTGCTAGGTGAGTCAGATGGCTCAAACAGGTGCCTGTTACGTGAGTCAGGTGGCTCAAGAAGGTGCCTGCTAGGTGAGTCAGGTGACTCAAGAAGGTGCCTGCTAGGTAAGTCAGGTGGCTCAAGGAGGTGCCTGCTAGGTGAGTCAGGTGGGTCAAGCAGGTGCCTGCTAGGTGAGTCAGGTGGGTCAAGCAGGTGCCTGCTAGGTGAGTCAGGTGGCTCAAACAGGTGCCTGCTAGTTGAGTCAGGTGGCTCAAGCAGGTGCCTCCTAGGTGAGTCAGGTGGGTCAAGCAGGTGCCTGCTAGGTGAGTCAGGTGGCTCAAGAAGGTGCCTGCTAGGTGAGTCAGGTGGCTCAAGAAGGTGCCTGCTAGGTGAGTCAGGTGGCTCAAGCAGGTGCCTGCTAGGTGAGTCAGGTGGGTCAAACAGGTGCCTGCTATTTGAGTCAGGTGGCTCAAACAGGTGCCTGTTAGGTGAGTGAGGTGGCTCAAGAAGGTGCCTGCTGGGTGAGTCAGGTGGGTCAAGCAGGTGCCTGCTAGGTAAGTCAGGTGGGTCAAGCAGGTGCCTGCTAGGTGAGTCAGGTGGGTCAAGGAGGTGCCTGCTAGGTGAGTCAGGTGGGTCAAGCAGGTGCCTGCTAGGTGAGTCAGGTGGGTCAAGCAGGTGCCTGCTAGGTGAGTCAGGTGGGTCAAGCAGGTGCCTGCTAGGTGAGTCAGGTGGCTCAAGGACGTGCCTGCTAGGTTAGTCAGGTGGCTCAAGCAGGTGCTTGCTAGGTAAGTCAGGTGGGTCAAGCAGGTGCCTGCTAGGTGAGTCAGGTGGGTCAAGCAGGTGCCTGCTAGGTGAATCAGGTGGGTCAAGCAGGTGCCTGCTAGGTGAGTCAGGTGGGTCAAGCAGGTGCCTGCTAGGTGAGTCAGGTGGGTCAAGCAGGTGCCTTCTAGGTGAGTCAGGTGGGTCAAGCAGGTGCCTGCTAGGTGAGTCAGGTGGGTCAAGCAGGTGCCTGCTAGGTGAGTCAGGTGGGTCAAGCAGGTGCCTGCTAGGTGAGTCAGGTGGGTCAAGCAGGTGCCTGCTAGGTGACTCAGGTGGCTCAAGGAGGTGCCTGCTAGGTGAGTCAGGTGGCTCAAGCAGATGCCTGCTAGGTAAGTCAGGTGGATCAAGCAGGTGCCTGCTAGGTGAGTCAGGTGGGTCAAGCAGGTGCCTGCTAGGTGAATCAGGTGGGTCAAGCAGGTGCCTGCTAGGTGAGTCAGGTGGGTCAAGGAGGTGCCTGCTAGGTGAGTCAGGTGGCTCAAGAAGGTGCCTGCTAGGTGAGTCAGATGGCTCAAACAGGTGCCTGCTAGGTGACTCAGGTGGGTCAAACAGGTGCTTCCTAGGTGAGTCAGGTGGCTCAAGAAGGTGCCTGCTAGGTGAGTCAGGTGGCTCAAGAAGGTGCCTGCTAGGTGAGTCAGGTGGCTCAAGCAGGTGCCTGCTAGGTGAGTCAGGTGGCTCAAACAGGTGCCTGCTAGGTGAGTCAGGTGGCTCAAGGAGGTGCCTGCTAGGTGAGTCGGTGGCTCAAGAAGGTGCCTGCTAGGTGAGTCAGGTGGCTCAAACAGGTGCCTGTTAGGTGAGTGAGGTGGCTCAAGAAGGTGCCTGCTAGGTGAGTCAGGTGGCTCAGGAAGGTGCCTGCTAGGTGAGTCAGGTGGGTCAAGCAGGTGCCTGCTAGTTGAGTCAGGTGGCTCAAACAGGTGCCTGCTAGGTGAGTCAGGTGGCTCAAGGAGGTGCCTGCTAGGTGAGTAAGGTGGCTCAAGCAGGTGCCTGTTAGGTAAGTCAGGTGGGTCAAGCAGGTGCCTGCTAGGTGAGTCAGGTGGGTGAAGCAGGTGCCTGCTAGGTGAGTCAGGTGGGTCAAGCAGGTGCCTGCTAGGTGAGTCAGGTGTGTCAAGCAGGTGCCTGCTAGGTGAGTCAGGTGGGTCAAGCAGGTGCCTGCTAGGTGAGTCAGGTGGCTCAAGGAGGTGCCTGCTAGGTGAGTCAGGTGGCTCAAGCAGGTGCCTGCTAGGTGAGTGAGGTGGCTCAAGGAGGTGCCTGCTAGGTGAGTCAGGTGGGTCAAGCAGGTGCCTGCTAGGTAAGTCAGGTGGGTCAAGCAGGTGCCTGCTAGGTGAGTCAGGTGGGTCAAGCAGGTGCCTGCTAGGTGAGTCAGGTGAGTCAAGCAGGTGCCTGCTAGGTGAGTCAAGTGGGTCAAGCAGGTGCCTGCTAGGTGAGTCAGGTGGGTCAAGCAGGTGCCTGCTAGGTGAGTCAGGTGGGTCAAGCAGGTGCCTGCTAGGTGAGTCAGGTGAGTCAAGCAGGTGCCTGCTAGGTGAGTCAGGTGGGTCAAGCAGGTGCCTGCTAGGTGAGTCAGGTGGCTCAAGGAGGTGCCTGCTAGGTGAGTCAGGTGGCTCAAGCAGGTGCCTGCTAGGTAAGTCAGGTGGGTCAAGCAGGTGCCTGCTAGGTGAGTCGGGTTTGGGTCAAGCAGGTGCCTGCTAGGTGAGTCAGGTGGGTCAAGCAGGTGCCTGCTAGGTGAGTCAGGTGGGTCAAGCAGGTGCCTGCTAGGTGAGTCAGGTGGGTCAAGCAGGTGCCTTCTAGGTGAGTCAGGTGGGTCAAGCAGGTGCCTGCTAGGTGGGTCAAGCAGGTGC